CATCTCTACAATAAATCAAAAATTAGCCGGGCGTGGTAGCGCCCGCCTGTAGTTCCAGCTACTTGGAAGGCTGAGGCGGAAGGGTCGCCGGAGCCCAGCAGGTCAAGGCTGCGGTGGCCGGGAGCGACCACTGCACTCCAGTCTGGGCGACAGAGTGGGACTCCAACTCAAAAAACAAAACAAAACAAATTGTTGGAGAATCAGTCTTAGAAAATGGGCAGTAGCTGGGACCACAGCTAACATTATACTACAATAGTAGTCTAGGAACACATTGGCTATTGATGCTGTTCAGTGCTAAATGTCACAAGCCATTTGCACCTGGCCTGAGATGTGCCCATTAAATGAGGGCAGGCAAGGTGAGAGTCTGATTGATGAAGATTGGGTACCTACCTCACTCCAGCTGCAAGGAAGTTAGAAAAGCCAGCATTAGGCATGTTCAGAGTCTGTGATGGAAAATGAACTCTGTTTCCATCCAGATGAGGATTTCTCAGTCAACAGAAGGGGGATCAGACAAAATCCAAGACTCATTGGGTTGTAGCAAGGAGACTAATGACCTTGTGACTAGTCAGAGGGAACTGCAGTCCTTTTGGAGAGGAATGAAGAGGGTCTGGACTCTTTCAGTGACATGGTGGAATGAGGGTGCAGATCGAAGTGAAAGTACAACAGTCAAATGAATCAAGCTTAATGATCAATTAGATACAGAGGTGAAGGAGAGGAGAGTAGGAAAAATGCCTTTTGAAGCCCTCTTGGCTTCAGGAATTGAATGAATGGTAATGTCATTAACTGGGGTAGGTCATTCAGGAGGAAAGGTGTGGTTTAGCGAAATGATGATGGGTCAGTTGTTTTTTGAGTTGGAGTCTCACTCTGTCACCCAGGCTGGAGTGCAGCGGCACGCTCACAGCCACTGCAGCCTCAACCTGCTGGGCTCAGGCGATTCTTCCACTTCAGCCTTCCAAATAGCTGGAACTACAGGCATGCACCACTAAGTCCGGCTAATTTTTTGATTTATTGTAGAGATGAGGTCTCACCAAGTTGCCCGGGTTGGTCTCGAACCTGTGGGCTCAGGCAATCCTCTCATCTCAGCCTCCCAAAGTGCTGGGGTTGTAGGCGTGAGCCACTGCGCCCGGCCGGTGAATCATTTTTTGACATGTGAGTTTGAAGTGTCTGAGGTGCACAGCTAGAGACAGACAATGGCCACATCTGGATGCCATTTTCCTAAGGATGGCAACTAGGCAATATGTGCTGGTAAATGACTAACAAAAGTCAGTGCAGGGAAGAGCAGTTCTGATCTGTAGCATCTTCTGATTTCTGTGGTGTAAAAACACCCATTATGGCTGCCTTCAAGTTACCAACATGAGGTTATTAAAAGCAGATTTGGGAAGAGATGAATGAACGCAGTCAACTCTCAGGAGCCCATGGGAAGGTCCAGGATGCCACTGTGGTTACAAATGAGAGTGAGGTCTCCCAGGCTGAGCAAGACCCTGAGAATAGTATCTTCAGGGGAAGATAGAAGAAGGAAAGTTAAATGCGGCACAGGAGTTTTCAGGAGGAAAACAAGAGAGAGTAGGCACTTCAAGATTAAGCCCATATCTGGGCCCTGTCAACCTCCCCAGCATTATCTTCCATCATTCACTCATTTTATCCTATTAGCAATCTTCCCTACTAGATTGTGGACTACTTGAGGACAGGGACTTTGTCTAACTCAACTTTGTTTCTCCAAGGAATAGTACCCAGTAAGTAATTTTGCTGATGCCTTTGGGATCAAGAGTCAAAGATCTGAACAAGTTAAGTCCTAACGAAGTCCTAAACTAGCAAGAATAATTTTTTATTTTTATTTTTTGAGTTGGGGTCTCACTCTGTTGCCCAGGCTGGAGTGCAGTGGCACGCACCTAGCAACTGCAGTCTTGACCTGCTGGGCTCAGGCGATCCTTCTGCCTCAGCCTTCCAAGTAGCCAGAACTACAGGTGCGTGCTACCATGCCCAGCTAATTTTTTGATTTATTGTAGAGACAAGGTCTCACCATGTTGCCCAGGCTATCTCGAACCCGTGGACTCAGGCAATCCTCTCGTCTTGGCCTCCCAAAGTTCTGAGATTATAGACTTGAGCCACCGTGCCCGGACACAAGAAGAAATTTAACAGAGGTTAAAAAAATTCTGCAATTAGGTTTTTTTTAAAAAATAAAAAAGGGAAATAAATCGATTGCACAAGAACATAAGAAGAGTGGCTTAGTCTCTGTTCTTGAGAAATCTGTGTGGTAATTTAGTTGGCTGTTAGTAGACAGTAACAATATGAGTAGTGTAATCCTAGGCCAGCACCATCAGCATCCTCTGAGTAGGTGACAGAAACAGACAGGTCTCATCCCAGTCCTACAGAATCTACTATTTAACAAGATCCCCAGGAAATGTTCATTCGTTTTTTTTGTTGTTGTTTTTTTTTAGAATCTAAGTCTCAGTCTTATCCAAGCTGGGGCACAGTGGCATGCTCATGGCCACTGCAGCCTCAACCTGCCAGGCTCAGTCAATTCTTCTGCCTCAGTCTTAAGTAGCTGGAACTCCAGGCAGGGACCATCACACCTGGCTAATTTTTCTTGATTTATTGTAGAGAAGAGGTCTTGCCAACCTGCCCAGGTTGGTCTTGAACTCATGGGCTCAGGCAATCCTCTCACCTCGGCCTCCCAAAGGCTTGGATTATAGGCATGAGCCACCGTGCCCGGTCATAATTCATTCTTACCAGAAGTTTGAGAAGCATTGATCTAAAGAGACTCAATGACACAGGGGCATCCAGAATGAAGAGGTAATAACTGTCATCTTTCCCTGCATAGGAAGTGCAAGTTTCAGTTTTGGGAGTCACATCTTCAGAAGACATTGGCCAACTGGAGGGAGTTCAGAGAAGGACCGCTAGGATGACAAAAAGATTGGGAAACCACAGCATGTGAGAAACTGTTGAGGGACTCAGATGGATTAGCTTGGAGAAGTCTTAAACAGTTGGGGGGAGATACATTAGTGACCTTCAAATATGCAGGGAAGGAAGATTTACGTCCACCATTTTCATGAGGAACACAAGGATAATTGCATATGTAAGTTACAAGGTGACATTTTGGCTCAGAGTAAAACTCTTCCTAACAAGTCTTTTTTTTTTTTTTTTGAGTTGGAGTCTCCCTCTGTCGCCCAGACTGGAGTGCAGTGACCGCTCCCGGCCACCGCAGCCTCGACCTGCTGGGCTCC